AACCAAGAATATGATATAGCTGAGTATTCTACCTCCAAGAGTGATTTATATCTGCTGCTTCAGAGAAAAGAAGAGGCCAGTAGGGGCAATGGTTCAGTGCTGACTCCACAGCACAGATTCCTCTTTTGAAGGAGGGGAGGGGAGGTGGCAATTGGAAGGAATCTTTAGGTTTTGGTAATTTCTAGTTGCTACCAAGTATATGTAAGCAACTGGCTCCAAATGAGACCAGCCTTTGGGTCTACAGAGGAAGATGAGCTGAGGTGAAATAAGCAGAATAAAGTCAGGATTTTAGGTATGCCCAGGCAGTAACAGCAGGGAGCAGCTCTCTCACTGCACTGCTCCTCCCTCCACCCATGTTGCCAGCACGTACCTTTCCTGTTCACCTTGTCTCCCACCCTGGGGCTCTGACAAAGCTTGGGTTTCTCCAATGAAGACAGTCATAAGGGCAGTGGAAAGGCTCACCGTCCACAGGGATGTGCTTCAGTTCCTTCTGTATCTCCTCACTGGTAAGATGGATCCCCATGCTGGCCAGGATGGTGTCTAGGTTACTGACATCGACCCTGTCCTCTATTGAAAGAAGCACTATATTGGAAACCATTACAGTTTTAATTTTCTTTTTCCATTTATGTTTAAGTATCATTTTAAACAACTAAGCAAGACAATATTCCCCCAGGTGCAGCCAGGATGCAAAGGAGCTCTTGGAACACAGAGAGAAAAATGAAGACAATAATATTAAAGACACTGTCTTTCTGTAGTCAAATTAACCTGAAGATCTGGAAGGACTTCAAACACACAAGTAAAATAAAACTTCCATGCCCCCTATGAGGCCGGGCAGTATTAGCATGGTTTTATAAGAGAGGAAACTGAGGGAGAGAGGGATAAGGTAATTGGTTTAAAGTCATCATATACGTGGACTGCAGCAAGGGGGAGAACAGAAGCCTGGTGTCTTGATTCTATATGATTGTGAACCGATTTCTGTGTTTTACTTTGAAGAAACCCTTGTGTCCTTAATTAAAGGTTCTGTCTTAGTCCAACTTCTCTGGATTTGTATCCTTCAGTGTTTATTAGTCAGAAGAAACATACAAAACATTGTTTACATACAAAATATTGTAAACAATA